ACACACACACACACACACACACACACACACACACGAGGCTTTCATGGAGAGAGACCTGTGCACACGCACAAACAGCCACAGGACCTTGCCCATAAAGGGGATAGGCACACGCCGTTGACATGAGGCCACACATCCATAGACATTAGGCCATCGCGGTGACAAGCACCCACACTGCCCCCTCACCCGATGCAGGACAGGCTTCCTCCAGGCACAGTCGGGTTCCCCCACCCCACCCCCCTGTGCCATTGAATGTTCCTGCACTGGCCTGCCAGTTCTCTGGGGAAAGGGCCTCAGAAATGCAGAAGGAGCCACTGGAGGGAAAGTTGGAACGGGCTGTACCCTGCCTGCCTCTGCCGTAGAAGTCCCTCCCCGAGAGGGTCACTCGCCGCAGAGAGCCCGCTGGGCCGCCCCGCCCGCCCGCCACCTCGCAGATCGGCCGCAGTCGGCTGCGCGCCTCCCGCTTATCTGCGCTGTTTGCACCCCGAGGGCTGCAGGCCGACAATCCCGCGGCCGAGTAAACAGCGCGCGGGCGCCCGGACTATTTCTGTCTTATCGGCGCAGGAATGCGGCAGCGGCGGCGGCGCGCGGGCGGCGTGGCCGTGGGCCGTCAGGGCAGCCCTGAAGGGGCCCTCCCCGCCCGGCTCGAGTAGAAGTGTGAGCGCCCAGCAGGACTCGGAGGGAGAGTTGGAGGAAAAAAGGCAGAAAGGGGAAAGAAAGAGGAAGAGAGAGTGAGTGAGCTCCACCGCGGAGCCCACCCCGATGGCCGCGGACGAAGTTACCGGAGGGGCGCGCAAAGCCACGAAAAGCAAACTTTTTGAGTTTCTAGTCCATGGGGTGGTGAGTGGGGGAAAGTTAGCGGGGGAGGGCGCGTGAGCTGGCGCGGACTGAATGGAGGGATGGCCGGGAGGGGCTGGGGCCGCTCGCGCTCTTGCCCCCAGCCCAACCCTGGCCTGTGCCCGCGCCCTGGCACGTGAACACGTCGGCAGACGGCTGGCTGGGGATGGGTGCGCCGGCGGGAAAGGGAGAGGCGTTTGTATGGGATCTTGTCAGGAGCTGGGGGTGGGACTTGGGGACTGTCCCAAGGGGGGGGCCTCTTCTGCATCAGATGTAGTGTCTTCCCTTCTTTTCCTTGTAAGCCCAGGCTATCCCCCCTGCCCTGGGGGCGGGGTGGAGGGCATGGCACTGGCTGAGCTGGCCTGGGCTGGCTCTTCATCTTTGGAACCATGTCTCTGTATTTCAAGAGCAAGGAACAGGTGACCTGGAACTGCTATGAACATTCACTGCATCTTGTCAGGGACTAATGGGGCTTTACTGGTGGTCTTTGCTATCAGGGTCAGCAAGAGGTCCTCTCTAGGACAGAGGGATCCTTTGGCAGAAGTGGATGTTCTCAAAGCCTCAAAGGTGTGAAAGCAGGCCTGAAGATCCCAGGGGCAGAGCAGCATGGTATTGTCACAAGGAGGCATGAAGGCATACAGGAAGTGCAGGGCAACAAGGAGACTGAGTGCAGTCCACCAGGGCCAAACTTGTGTGTGTGGAGGGCTGTGGAGATGGGAAGGGGTGACTAGGGAGATGGCAGGGTTCCCAAACTGGGGGTAGGTGATATAGGTTGGAAGATGGGTGTACAGGAAGCAGTCAGACTGACTATGTTTGGGACCCAAAGGAATGCACTTTGTTAGTCTAGGAGACCAGAGGCCCTAGAATCTTGGCCTTTTGTGGAGGTGGCCCTGGTGACTGACACAATATCTGGGGACTTAGAAGCCTCCTTTTCAGGCCTCGTTAGCAGATTATGAAGTACCTAGCCTTGGTAAATGGGAGAACAGCTATATGAGGGGGCTTCCCTGGATCAGTCCACCCTCCAGTCCTGGAATCTCAGGGGGTAATTTCCAGGGGAAAGGGTATCAGCCAGTCAAATGATCAGTAGTACTAGCCTTGCTGCTTGGGAGTGGGGTCCCTTTCAAAAGGCCCCTCAAGAAGAAGAGAAGTAATACATATGCATTTTTTATATGACCAACTTAGAGCTTCTGTTTTTGGGTAACTATATGTCCCACAGACTACCCCAACTCCCAGGGACCACTCTCTGCTGGGGGAATGGTCTGCTGCCACCCAGGAGGTATGAGTGACAGAGTCAGATGGGACAGGGGAGGCAGAGATACAAGGATAAGTAGGCTTCACTGTGGGAGAGATGGGCAGAGACAGCTGGCTGGCTAGGGCAGGAGGAGGTTAAGGCTAGGGCTTGAAGGGACAGGAGGGACAGCTGGCAGTTGAAGAGGACACAAGCCCAGGGTCAGGGCTCCTTGTGTTTGCTTGCAGCTGTGCTCTTGAGGAAACAGCAGTAGTGTTCAGCTGATACAGGGCAGGGGGCTGCTACATTCCTGGGCCTTGTTTTCCTTCCTTGCTCTTTTACCTGTCCCCATTCCACCTACCCTCTACATTCAACTCTCACTGGCCCTTCCCAACAGCTCTTCTGGAATCTAGAACTGGGGTTAACTAGCCCCTTGGAACACTCCACTTGATACATCCCATCTGAACACATAGGGATTGCTGACCTCATCTCTTTCTCCTTGCACCCCCCATCCCCACACTTCTGACCTCACTGGGTAGCGTGGGAGGTGGAGGTGTGTAAGGCTGGGACCATCTCTGTTGATGTTGGTGGACAGGAGAGGGATGGATATAAGACTGAATGCCATTGACCTATCCCAGGTCCACTGCAGTCCTATCTTCAGTCCTCTGGACCCTCCCCTCCAATCACCAAATCCTGGTAGGTCTGACCTCAGCCCAGGCTTCTCAGAGACAAGGTCGCCTCCTGCCCTGTTTAAAGCTTTTACCCTGAGACCAAATTATGGGGGTAGGTTAAGTTAGTGAAGCTAACTGGTACCTGGGTGTGGGGACTGGGAGGTAGTCCAAGGCAGTGCAATTGAGGGGGTCAGAGTAGGGATCCAGAGATAGGGTGGAGATGAGGAGTGGTGAGTGCAAGACCAAATAACCAGGGAGTGAGGGTGGGGAGGAGGACTATGGAGGGGCAGCAGCAGCCCCTCAGGAAACTGATCAGTCAGGTCCGCCTTTGCCGGATGAGCTTCGTGACCTTGGCTAGGTCGCTTTTCTCCTTGAGCCCTAGTTGCCTCATCTGTCAAGTGGGGAAGAAAGCCCCAGCTCCGTCAGTCTCACTGAGGAGCCTATGGTAGTGAAAATGCTTTGAAAAGGTTGAAAGGCTCCATTCATATTCATTTTTGCAGTCCCTCCCGCATTCCCGAGGCTCGGTGGTGCCCGTTGCCTCTGCCTGGCTTCAGTTAGCTTCCTGCAGCAAAGCCACCTCCACCCAAACTACGCGACTCCTGGTTACAGGCTGGATCGGGTCATCCGCGGGGGTCTTGGGGTGGGGCCTCGGGGAGGGTCCTGGTCTCACGAGCGGCGCCTGTTTCTGCTCTAACCCCCATCCCCAGCGACCCGGGATGCCGTCCGGAGCCCGGATGCCCCACCAGGGGGCGCCCATGGGACCCCCCGGTTCCCCGTACATGGGCAGTCCTGCTGTGCGTCCTGGCCTGGCCCCCGCGGGCATGGAGCCCGCCCGCAAGCGAGCAGCGCCCCCGCCCGGGCAGAACCAGGCACAGAGCCAGGGTCAGCCGGTGCCCACAGCACCCACACGGAGTCGCAGGTGAGTGGGGCCTGGTTCTGGATATGAGGGGGGAGATGGGTGTGGAAGGGGCGATGAAGAACAACAGGGAACGGGTCATTCAGGATCGCGTGCCCTCAGAGTGCGCCTAACCGAGGAGCCTTTGTGTACCCAAAGTGGAGTCCGTCTGACTGCAGCCGCCGGGAGTCAGTGTCTCATTTCTGCATGAGCCCCTTGCCCTTCTCTGTGTCACTTGTTCATTCCTCTGTCCACCCCTTACCCCCAAGTTCTCAGTGATGCTTTGGCTGCTGGGCTGGATTGGACTGGCAACAGGACTCAGGGCTGAAGCCTACGGACTGTATTTTTAAAGTGTGGTTCTTCAACCCATCTTTCTCAGAAGCCCCTGACTTGACTGTTAAAAATGCCCACTCCGTAGCTTCTAAATCTGACTCCCTGGGGATGGGATGGAGCCAGGGAAACTGCCCAGGGGGTGGGTGGTCCCAAATCCCTCTCTGTCCAGTTATGCTCTTTGGTAATTCTAGGTAGTCAGAGCCTAAAGAACCCCTATAATCCCTGCTGGTACTTAGTGAGGAAGATTCCCCTCTGGCTTTCAGTATTTAACCAAACACACATGCTTCCCTTTGCACAACAGATGGATTCCTATAAAAGGTGTAATATGAATTTTATCTCATTAATTTTTTGAACAAGGAAAGCTCACCATTTATAGGAATCCCGTGATTATTTTACAAAGTCAATCATCCTTTTGTACAGTAAATAATTCCTTGGCTTATCTGTGTTAATGGAGTTTCACATGGAAAATTTAACACAAATCATACCTTTAATGAACCCTAGCCTAGCCCTCTGAACTAGGAGGGGTAGTGGCCAAGAGCACCGCAAGGGGGCACTATAGAGCCATTCTCCAGCCTGTGTTCTCTTGACCTACTGAGGTTTTTTCTAGGGTGACTTTAGGAGCAGGGCTTTGAACCATTTCATTCCAGTTCGATCCCTTGCTAAGAACTTGCCTTTCTACCCCAGAGATACTGAATCAGAATTGGTCAAAAGCCTGTGTGGGAGTCAAAAGCCCACATGCCAGCTACTCCCTCAGTACCAGCCTACATGATCCAGTTCTCTGGTCCCCAGGCCTCAGCTACCTGACACAGGAAAGCATTCATACATCTGGATCTCCATGGGTGTGGCTTGTCCCTTGCTATGTTACCAGATGGCCCAGAGCATCCTCTGCCCACCATCAGCCTACCCTTCCAAGCCCAGGGTAGTGATACTTGTTAAGTTTCAGTCAAATCAGTTCCAACTCACAGCGACTCTGTATAGGGTTTCCGAGGCTATAAATCTTTGCAGGAGCAGAAATTTTTTCCTGCAGAGTGGCTGGTGGGCTCAAACCACTGATCTGTGCAGTTCACGGTTCAGTGCCTATCCTGCAGAGCCCAGGGTACACCATCACAACCTACTCCAGGGGTTGGGGTCAGCTGTCCTCTCTCTCTTAACTCTAGCCATGTTGGAACTTGAATATGCAGCCCTACTTGGTAAAAAAAAAAAAAAAACTCAGAACCTGGTCTCCCTTTCTTTCCCCAGCTTCCCTCAAACACTTCTGCAGCTCCCATTTTCTGGCAACACCTCCCCAGCCTCAGCCCAAGTCTAAATTTCTCCGGCCCTGTGGACATCATGGGATGGCAGGGGCTTCCCAGGCCAGAGGACAGATGGGTCATTTCTGTGTCCCATGGGGGACCTAGTGCCAATTTCACACAGCACCACTGTAGCCCCTCGAGCGGGCAGACAAGTGGGCTGTGGGAACCCCAGCCAGGCGGGCGGAGATGTCGGGGATAATTTAGCAGGTGGCCTCGTTACTCCCAGATCTGTCGCCATGGTAACCTGGTTTTTTCTTTAAAAAATGTACAGTGCCAAGAGGAGGAAGATGGCTGACAAAATCCTCCCTCAAAGGGTGAGTGCCTTTCACAGCAGCCCCCAGCCAACCCCCCTTCACCCTTTCTTGCTCTGCCCTCTCCTCCCGTCCCCATCCCCTCCCCTCTCAGGAGCAAAGCTTCAGTGTCACAGTCACTTTCACTTTTTGTTTAAAAAGCTAATTAAGAAGTGAGGCTCCCCAGGCCAGAGGGAGGGGGCGGGGCAAAGGGAAAGAGCGTTGCTGTGAGGGTTCAGTGGACTGAATTCCAGTGATCCTAAGACATGAAAGCTGGAACAAAGAGGGGATAAGAACTGGGGGTCAGATGCTGGCAGGTGGAGTGGGAACAGAAGCTGGCCAGACGCATCCAGACAGACCCAGGATGAGCCAGACCTCAGTGCAGGACCCGGGGGAGGTACCAGGGGCAGAAAGACACAACGCTGCCCCCACTGTCTCAGAGACTGCAGAGCTTGAAGCCACTTTGCAGGGACCCACGGGAAGCCCAGCAAACTATACCACCAGGGAAATGGCCAGATGAGACAGTTCCACTCTCTTCTTGGTGGGCCCCACAGAGGGAGCAGCAGTTTTCCTCTGCAAATTGAGTACCCTACCGGGAAGAGATCTCATTCACTCACCATTCCATTCCCTGCAACTGGACAACTACCCTCCCTTCTTTGTGCCCTGGGATGGCATGGCTGACACGCCCACATGCAATATAGTGAGATTTTCAGAGCCCATATACCCTCCCTGCCTGGCTCCTCCTACTGCAGATTCGGGAGCTGGTCCCAGAGTCCCAAGCGTACATGGACCTCCTAGCATTTGAGAGGAAATTGGATCAGACCATCATGCGGAAGCGGGTGGACATCCAAGAGGCTCTGAAGAGGCCAATGAAGGTGACTTAATTTGCGGATTAGAAAGTGGGTGCTAAATGCCACCCCCAAACTGCTGCGGGGAGGAGCAAGGCTACTCTGGGGTGGCATCTCACAGTATTCGCTCTATACCACACTCCTTATTTCCACAGCAAAAGCGGAAGCTGCGTCTATATATCTCCAATACCTTTAACCCTGCCAAGCCCGATGCTGAAGATTCTGATGGCAGCATTGCTTCCTGGGAGCTGCGGGTGGAGGGGAAACTCCTGGATGACGTACGTCCTGGCCCAGGTCTCTCCGGGTGTTCTGGGTGGGGATGGGGGTGAGTTGAGAGACAGAATCAAAGTCTGTTTTAGGGAAGGGTGGGCCTAGAGACACTGTAAGCACAGAGGACTGCATCCCTTGCTGCCCTGCCCTGCCAGCTCCAGCCCTCTCAACTCAGTCTCCTTCTGTCCCCATGGTCCCTGTTCTGCCCCCACGGTCCCTGTTCTGCCCCACAGCCCAGCAAGCAGAAGCGCAAGTTCTCGTCTTTCTTTAAGAGTTTGGTCATTGAGCTGGACAAAGACCTCTATGGCCCTGACAACCACCTAGTTGAGGTAAGGAGACAATTCTTTCTGCCCTTAACCGTTACTTCACCACAGGCCCAAGTGCCTGAAACACCTAAACCAGAATCCCCACCTACTCTAAGGGGCCCATAGATTTGGAGCTGGAACCACTCTGGAGCCCGAGGTTCCACCGACGCTGATGGGCCTGTGTCGTGACCCAACTCTTATCCCCTGGATAGTGGCATCGGACACCTACCACCCAGGAGACAGACGGGTTCCAGGTGAAGCGGCCAGGAGACTTGAGCGTGCGCTGCACTCTACTCCTCATGCTGGACTACCAGGTCTGTGCCCGCTGCCACCGCCGCTGCCCACACATGAAGCCACCCGTGCCGGGCACAGCCAGCACCAGCCTCCCCCTTTCTTCTTAGACAGGGTGGGCCTAGGCCTCAAAGCTGTGCATCCTGAGACCCCATTCTCCTTCCTACATCATCCTTCTCCAGAAGCATGTTTCAAAGGAGCCCAGTCAACACATCTCTCAGCCCCAAGCTGCCTGGCCCTGAGTTCTTCCCACCCCTCTTTATCTCATTTTCATGGCCACCCTTCCCCAGCCTCCCCAGTTCAAGCTGGACCCCCGCCTGGCCCGGCTGCTGGGACTGCACACACAGAGTCGCTCGGCCATCGTCCAGGCCCTATGGCAGTATGTGAAGACCAACAGACTGCAGGACTCCCACGACAAGGAGTACATCAACGGGGACAAGTACTTCCAGCAGGTAACCCCTCTCCTGAACTCGGAGATCAGGGAGCAGGAAGAGTTACCAGCAGGGGAAGGACTTCTCATAAGGTAACACTACCCCTCTACCCAGTCTCCTGAAAGCTGGAAAACAGGAGACTGTCATGGTTTGGAGTCCAAGAGACCAGGCACTCTCATCTAACCAAATTGCTATGAAAGTGATTTGACAAAACTCTACTAAAGTAGGCTTGATTATTTCTAAGTAAACACAGCAGATAAACCTGAGGCATGAACATAGCAGCTGACATTTATTGAGTACTCACTCCCCCATGTGTCAGGCACTGGTCCACATACTCTACATGTATTCATTCATTTCTTTTTCACAAAAGCCCCATGAGATAAGATTATAATGTGCACCCTAGAGATGAGGAAACCTCTGAAGGTTACAGTTAGTGGTGGAAGTGGGGGTTATACCTCAGCAGGCTTTCAACCACTATATCACAGGGCCTCTCTTTCTTATTCACTACCCACCCACCTCAGTCCCATTCACAAGCAATGAGGAATCAGACTTGGTCCTAATTTCTTGCAACCTTTCCAGAATAGAAGGAAAAATAGTTTTGCTCTATTCAAGCTCAGAACAGTGATTTCTCTTCCTGACTCACCTGCTTTAGATTTTTGACTGTCCCCGACTGAAGTTTTCTGAGATTCCCCAGCGCCTCACAGCTCTGCTCTTGCCCCCTGACCCAATTGTCATCAACCATGTCATCAGGTGAGATGACTCCAACTTGTTCCTCAGACAAGGAAATTCTCGTCCCTGCTTTTCCTCTCCTCCTCCTCCCTACCTCCATTCCCCATTGAATCTACCCAGCCCTGTGCCCCATGGCCTTTGTGGGGGCATCCTGGACATCAAGGGCTACATTTCCTTGTCAGTGTGGACCCATCAGACCAAAAGAAGACGGCATGCTACGACATTGATGTGGAGGTGGAGGAGCCACTGAAGGGTCAGATGAGCAGCTTCCTCCTGTCCACAGCCAATCAGCAGGAGATCAGTGCTCTGGACAGTAAGGTGTGGCCAGAGTCCACAGCTGGCATAGGACATTAACCCAGAAATGACAAAGTGCAAACTCAGAATAGGCTGGGCACAGGTGAACTCAAAAAATAAACATTACCCGTGAATACTGAGTTCTTCCCCCCAAAAAATCAACTATATGAGACAATGGTCAGTAACTACTCTAATACAGAGATGAGAAGGTACGAAGGATGGGGGGACAGGGAGAGGAAGGCAGCAAGAAAGCTAGACGAGTGGAAACAGAACCACCAGAATTGACATTAGACTGTTGACACATTGTTAAAAATGAAAGCAGTGTCACTGAATATTATGCACAGAAATTATTAAACAACAATTTAATTTGCTATGTAAACCTTCACCAAAAATAATAAATTATTTTATAGAAAAATAAAGGGACAAGTGGGCCTTCCATTGCTATTTGGAGCTGAAGTATTCAGAGTATATTTTTGCCCACCACCATCCTACTTTCTTGGGACGTTAGCAGAATCAGGGGCTCTGAGAGATTGCCCTTCAAATGGACAGGGGTAAATCCCCTCCCCTTTTCATCATCTTCCTTTTACCCTCCTCTCCCTTATCACCAAGGCCAACTATCTCTCTACCTGTAGATCCATGAGACGATTGAGTCCATAAACCAGCTCAAGATCCAGAGGGACTTCATGCTAAGCTTCTCCAGGGACCCCAAAGGCTATGTCCAAGACCTGCTCCGCTCCCAGAGCCGGGACCTCAAGGTAAGGATGGAGACTCGGGAATTACTGGAGTGGAAGACAAGGACATTTGGAAAGACAGTAAATGCTATATACAGGTGAAGGGTGGGTGACTTTGGGTTTAGGGCTGATCCCCCACTGCACCCTCCCAGGTGATGACAGATGTAACAGGCAACCCTGAAGAGGAGCGCCGGGCTGAGTTCTACCATCAGCCCTGGTCCCAGGAAGCAGTCAGCCGCTACTTCTACTGCAAGGTAAAGCGGGTCCCTTGTAATCCAGACGTGCCCTCTTCTCCACTCCAAGAGAAAGTGCTCTCCTCAGATTTGCCAGTTGTCCTTGCTCATTCTACCTGGTGACTCCCACCATACCCCCAGCCGCTGTGCAAGAGCTCTCCCTGCTCCCCGATGCTCTCCTGAGGCCCAGGGCAGTGGGCAGTCAGGGTGGTCCTGCTCACTCACCAAGAATGCTGTAACTGGCTCGTACTCTTTCTCTAAAGATCCAGCAACGCAGGCAGGAACTGGAGCAGTCACTGGTTGTGCGCAACACCTAGGAGCCCCCTTTGAATGAGCACCACTGTGGACCTTCTGGGCTGGGGCCTGGTCCTGACTCCTCCAACACCTCTGTGTGAGACTGGGGCACTGGATTAAAGGGCGTTCATCTAACAGCAGCTGTGTGGTTACTGGAAACTGGGGACGGCGAGAGGGAGGTAATGGGTCCCTCTGGGAAAACTTCCCATGCCTTCTTTCCCTAGGCCTCTACAGAGTTTGGCAGAAGTCACTTTTAATAGCACTTTCTTATTAGAAAAATACAGCAACAAGCTCTCCATTGTCCATGTGATTTGCCTTGCCCTTCCTGGGACGAAGGCAGAAAAGGCAAATACAAAGAGGTCCAGGACCCTTCAGCGGGGCTAAGTGCTATTGGCCTGCTCCTGTTCAAACAGAGCCATGGCAAGCTGGGCACGCCCCCCCAGGCCCTCCAGGTTGCTGAGGCGGCAGCGGTGGTAGAGTTCTTCACTGAGTCGGGGGCTACAGTCCCGCACTGAGAATTTCTGCACCAGCCCTGGCTCTACGGCCCGAAAAAGGTGGAGCCCTGAGAACCGGAGGAAAACATCCATCACCTCCAGCCCCTCCAGGGCTTCCTCCTCTTCCAGGCCTGCCAGTTCACCAGCCAACCGGGCTCGGGCCGCCAAGTAGTCTGCGTTGTAGAAGCATCCCTCAGCTGAAGCCTGCCGGTCAAATCTACCCCCTACAGAAGCCCCCCGGGAAGGGTCAGCACCAGGAGGGGATGGAGGGTCAGGGCCAGCCCCCAGAGGCCCTTGGGGTGACCGAGGTGGTGACAGGGTAGGATTGAACTCCTGAAAATGCACTGGGAAGAAAGCCTGCCAGCCTGAGATGGCATTCATGCGGCAGCGGTTGAGAACCTCGGGTCCAGGCCTCGTCCACACAGTGGTGAGGAAGAAGAGGGTATCCACAGGGTGCTTCTTAGAGACTACATCCATGAGCCGCACCTGGGAAGGGACCTCGGCTCGCACAGCAAGCCAGGCCAGCCTTGTCCCAGGGTACCGCCGCTCCAACTCAGCTGCCGTAGCCTTCACCCCAAGAAACGGGTCTGGGGCCCCTCGGCCACCTTCCCGGGGTCCATAGACCAACAACAAGGTGAGCAGGGCATGTTCTCGAGGTTCCAGAACACCAGCTGCAAAGGCCTCCAGGAAAGCAGGGGCTGCGGCAGCTTCAGCCACCAGGAGAGGCAGCACCAGCTGCACCCGGGTGGCTTCTGTGACATAGGGCATGGGTAGGATTTCTACACGGCTCAGTGGCCGCAGCAGGCTGACCCGGCGGGCCAGGGCCCGCCGGTGCCCGCGCTGAGTCACAGCTTCCAGCAGTAAGTCCAGGGTGTACTCCATGCCGCGGGCTGGGTCAAAGCGCCGGTAGCCGTTGAGGAGCCGCTGCTTCTGGAAGCGGAGGCGGGGTTGATAGCGTCGATTCAGCTGCTCCAAGGCAGTCTCCACAGCATCACCCACATCTGCCCTGCTAGCCCCTTGCAGCGGGCACTTGGGAGCCCCATCTGCACAGGAAAAGGTGTGCTGCTCTGTGAAGTAGTCCCAGCCCAGCACCTCAAAACGAGAGTGTGGTGTGAAAGGGGCCGGTAGCCCAATGGGCCAGCTCAGACCTGCCTCCCCCTCAGGGGTCAGCATTGTCAGGTTCCGGATCTGAGCCTAGTTGGGAAAGAATACACAGTTGGTACCAGATCTAGTAGCTCACCCAACATCTGCTTCCTGGGCTCATGAGAGTACTAGACTTGAAACCCAAAAGGCTGAACTATGTCTTAACTGTCAACCTTTAGAGGAGTGCCCCTTAGCTAATCATTTAATTCCCCATACTTTATATGCTTCATGTGGAAAGACTATGAATCATACCCACCTTATACAATAACTGAGAAGGTCAAGATTAAACTGTATGTTTGCAAAGGTGAGAGTGCCTGAAATATAAAGCTCAAAGTCTCTCACCCATATGCTAAGTATTCACATCCTCTTATAATCAGACCCTTGTTCCACCTCTGACAACCTCCATACTACAGTCACTAGAGACACTTTGTCTTCGGGCTTTTTTTGGACAGTTCTAGAACTTTTAAACTTGTGCTTCCTTGGTGGAGGGGAGTCTCAACATTGTACTAAGTCCCCTGACCCTCACAGCTCACCTCTAACTGCATTAATGGCGTCCCTGGAGCCTATCACTGATCTGACCCCCAAGAGAGTGTGCTCTCCCTGTAGTTTGAAGTTTTGGTGTGATCAGCAACTTTCTATCCATCCACTGCAGTCCTCTAGCCTATTTGCTCTTCTTTAGCTCACCTGCAGCTGTTCGATCTCACTGTAAGCCTGCTCCAACTCCAAAGCACTGAAGCGCTGGTGCAGCCGGTACATGAGGGCTGCCTCAGGGACAGGGTGCACTGTGAAAGCACTCAGGAAAGCCGAACTCTCCTCCTTCTCAGGGTCCCTGTTTTTGGCCAGTTCAAATGAGCGATACTGCTGTCCCTAGAGGGACCAAACAGACCAATCAGCGCTACACACCAAGGGTCCTTAACCACATGGAGCCACCCACTCAGTGCTGCTGCTGCCTTAGGATGGAGGAGGGGAGGGGGCACATCCTCAACCTGTGCCTCCATTCTTCCCACCACAGCTCAGATTTTGGAAAGAAGAAAGCAAGGAGGCAATTAAAGGCACTTTCTGCCCAAAGAATCCTAGTTTCTCAAAAGAATGAACATCTCAAGTCAGAGAAGACTCAATACTCTGGTTTTGGGAGGATGGGCGACATCTGAGAATCTTCCCCTCTTCTCTAGTACAAGCACTGAAATTTCTGGGCTTGAAAAGTGAAAACTTTACCCTTCTAGGATCATGGCCATTTCTAGGAAATGCCTAGACTTTTCATGACTCTTAAAGGGGTATACTGGGGAGTTAGGGACAGGGGGCAGGTGGAAGGCAGGGAGGCAAATAGGGCGTAAGACACATTTCAGTCTCACACAAAGGTTCCTAGACAAAATGCTACTTTTGATAGCTCCCAGGTTCTAAGATTTCCAAAGGCAAGCAAGGGCCTGCCAAAGAGAAGATCTATAGCTCAGAAGGGTGCAGCAATGGGTTTCCAAGCTGCTGATGGGAAGGGGCCATCAGTACTAATCTGGAGATATGTTACTAAGTCACCACTAACTTCTGGAAACTGGAATGAACTGTTACCTGGTGCTGGGAGACACAGCCAATCCCCAAAGAGTCGATGAGGCAGCGGCCAAGCCACTCGTCAGGGCGGGCACTAAGAATGTCTCCTCGGCAGCCATCAAGGTGTGGCCGCAACCGGAGCAGAAGACTCCGTGACAGCAGGTACCCAAAGCCACCATGACAATACTGGGCCTGCTCCCCAGCGCCAATGAATTCCTCAGCACGGCCTAGGTACAGGTCCTGGTTGATGCTAAGGTGGCCAGCAAGGGCTGCCAGGCGGGGGGCCTGCACATAAGTGTCATCCTGCATTATGAAGAACCAGTCATAGTCGGCCCCAAAATGTGTGTGCAGATGGCGTAGCGTCTCAGACATGAGCCAGGCTGGCCGCTCATCCCCGTGAGATACCACCTGCATCCCTGCTGGAGCCCGTGCCCCTCGCTGCCCAGTGAAGTAGAGTAACCGAGGGAAGTGGTGGGCCACTGTGCGATTCACAGCCACAGCCAGAGTGGACAGTGTGACTCGGGAAGTCAGGACAGCCACGAGTAACCGCTCACGGGAGCCCAGCTCTGTCTGGATATACCGAGTCCTGTGGAGAGACCAGAATGTCAAAGGTCAACTCCTTAATCTTTAGGAACCAGCTTGTCCTACATAGATACCCCCTGAGTGAATTAGGTTGAGAAAAGTAAAGGGAGAAGCCTCCTCATCAATATTAATTAACTGTTAGAATTAGTATCTAATGATTAGCTGTACTTTGTACCTGTACTTTGCAGGGGGAGAGGGTTTACTAAGGATGAGTTAGTTGGCTGAGATGCAAGTCCTGCCTTGTTCAAGAACACTGAACATGAATTTAACAACGTTTAAGACTTGCTTAGATCTAGGAGGAGAGAAAAAGAGAAACGAATCATTATGGGGAAGAAGACAAAGGATTGTACCAAGGAGCTTCACAGGCTGGTCAACAGTGGACAAGCAGAGGCAAGTGAGCCAATAAACAGAAGTCTGGTATCTGGGGGCTGCACACTGAGTTCTCACCTGAGCACCTTCTTGTAGGGCTTGTTGGGATCTCTGTAGTAAGGCACAATCCGAGGCTTGAAGTTGTCACTGTGGTCTAGCCGAGTTCTAGAGTCCAAATTCTGAGAACCTCCCAGGTCTCCCACAGCCTCTACACAGGGATCTTCTCCCTCCCCCTGGACCCAGGAAACCCGCAAGAGGCTCAGGCTACAACCCAGAGATAGCCCTAGGATGAGGGGCAATGCTGGTCGCAGCAGGGCCAAAAGGGAGTTCAGTCTCATGGTGGTGAGTCCTGCCATGTGGGTGCCCCAGAGGGCACCACGTCAAGAATCAATGGGGTTGTAGGTGTCAGGCCAAGAGTAGGCCAAGTTTTAATTTCTTAGATCTGTGGCTAACCAAGGAACCTGAGGTCAGCGAGGTCAACAGAGCAAGGCATGAACATTTGCAGGTCCAGCAGAAAGCTGGACTGACTCATCTTCACTTCTCTGCCTGGTCTTCAACTGTCAACTTGCTAGATCTAACCCTCAGCCCAAGTAGTAATAAAGTTCACTCACTACTGGGACCACATTCTGTCTTCCCATGGAAAAGGGCAAAAGCAAAACTCAACAATGCTAAACTTAACCCAAAAAGACAACTACTTTCATCTGTAAACTAGTTCTAAATCGAGATAGAAGCAACTGAGAAGGAAGGGGCTAGGGAAAAGTATATAATATGCCAGAACAGCCGCCAAACCTAGGAACCAGTCTCCTCTGCCTTTCCTAAAAAATGCCTGGTTTAGGGCAGTTTCTCAGTTTTCTGAAGGAACATGCTGGCTGGCAGCTGAAGATAAGCAAAAGAGAAGGAATCAGGACTAGAATAATCCCTGCCTCCAAGTCAGGAATGATCAGCAACTAGCATCCTCTACAGAATGTACAGTTTAAACCAGCCAAACAAAGACAGTCATAGGGCCACAACACTGAGATCTCATAAGCACACAATGGCTAGTGGAGTCAAAGCCCAGCTGCTGAGAAGCAGGTTTTGTTTCACCTTCCTCTTAAAAGAGGAAGCAAGTTATAGTACTCTTGGTGTATATGAACTATTCAATATCTGGTTTGACCAGAAAGGACCCCAGGTACAAAACACACAGAAAACACATGGACAAGAAACTGGAGTCAATGAGGTCAGAATTGGAATCCTGTAAAACGCAAAAAGTTCAGCTGGCTTTGCATCTGAACGTGGCCTGTGGACCAAAGCCCCGACCCACCTCCCATTAGCGAAAAACAAATTCTAGTCCTAGTTTTGGCGGTTAGTCTCAAGGCAGTAATAAAATCAACTACGCCGAGAGGCTGTCCAGAAGAGTAGGAGGGGTACTACACTCGGTTTGTTCCGCTTCGGTTTGAGAGTAGGAGCTGACCAAGACACGCGTTAAAGGAAGGGCTGCGGACGCAAGAGGTATACAGATCACCCATCGCAGAGGGCAGCTGAGAGAGAAGGGATCAGACCCGACGGGGATCAAAAGCCCTGAATGAGCCAGGGAGGTAGCCCGAACTGGTGGGTGAGGGGCGCAGGTGATTCACCCAGGCACCAGTGGAAGGCCCCTGCAGCCAGGGCCGGTGCCGGCGCAGGAAGGACCAAGGACCGCCGGCTCTCGCCCAAAACAGCCGGCTCAGAAAGCCAGTCTTAGGGTGTGGACGTGGGAAAAGAAGACGCAGGTCGAGCTCATTGTTCTCGGCAGCAGTCCAGGACACCCCTTCAGGGAGTAAGGACCGGGAAAAGGGACACAGACCCCAATGCCCGAAATGGTACAGTCTCCGCCGGCGCAGCAGCTGCCACCTCACAACTCTCAGCCCGCTTCTTCCTCTTCCGCTCAGCTATCTTGACAGCTTCCGGCCGTTCGCTCGGCCGGCTCCCTCTCTATGATCCCAAACCGGCTCCCAGACAGCCTCCGATGACGCGACCCCCTGTACCGCAGCTACCCGCTGCAAAAAGTAAACAGTCGTTCTGTAAATGAGTGCACATCAGCTGGGCCCAGAGAGTCCACAGATCTTCGACCACAAAACCAACTATTTTGTGGTGGGGCTGCTGGACAAACTTAATCTTCAGCTTGGGAATCCCATCATTTATTGATTTAAGAATATTTATTATGAACTCTGGTAGCGTAGTGGTTACGAATCGGGCTGTGAACCTCAGGGTCAGCAGTTCGAAACTACCAGCTGTTCCGAGGGAGAAAGAAGAGGCTTTCTGCTCCCGTAAAGATTTACAGCCTCGGAAACCCTGTTCAGGGTCGCTATGAGTCGCAACCGACTCCACGGCACATAACAACAACAATTATTTGCCTACTCAGTTCCAGCACTGAGCCAACAAGTGAAAGGCAAGGTCCCTTGCCCTCAGGGAGCTGAGAATTGAGGGAGATAGCCATTAAACACGTTTATCAGAAAGCTCATGTAAAGTCAAAAATCATAAATGTCATGTTAGTTGTTGTGCTCCGACTGATAGCGAGTCTATATAGCATTTCCGAAGAGAGGCTTTTGGGTTTGAAAAGCTAACCCAGTGTTCACCCGACAGCATCACCAGAGCTCCTTCAGTTTTAGTTTACATTGCTGTTGTTGTTAAGTGCCATGAAGTCAGTTCCGACTCATAGCAATTGATCAAACATGCATAAGTTTGAATAATAGTTGTATTAACTGCTCTTCCTTGTTGTTGTTGTTAAGTGCTGTCGAATCAATTCCGACCCATAGCCACCCTTTATAGGGTTTCCAAGGAGCAGCTGGTGAGCTTGAACCACCGACCTTGCAGTTCAAATGACTTTGCAGTCTGATGCATTAGCCCACAGCGCCACACCAGGACTCCAGCTCTTCCTTGTAGGTGTATGGATATTATCCTGTCATAGATAGCACTGTACTTCAAGATAGATCTGGACATACTGTTTTTGATGATGAATGTGATGCCAAGGTTGGAATATTTACAACTTTCTAATAGTAGATTAGAAAGCTTACAGCATTGGTCCTGGGGCCCTTAGACCACCTGGTCTGGGTATGACTCATGACAGTGCAGATCTGAGTCAGCCATCAGTACCCTAAGCTTAAATGACAGGCCTATGCAAGCTCCCTGAGAAGGGACTCTGAAATGTGCTCTTGAATATAGAAAAGCTGAAGTGACTAAAAGAAAAGGTGAAATAAAACAGATAAGCAGAAAATTCAAAGAACAGGCTTGAGAAGAATCAAGTGTTATAATGACATGTGCAAAGACCTGGAGTTAGAAAACCAAAAAGGAGGAACACATGCACTATTTCTCAAGCTAAAAGAAATAAATAGAAAGTTCAAATCTCAGTTGCAATATTAAAGTATTCTATGGGCAAAATGGAGTCCTTGTGTGGCACTGTAGGATAGGCACTAGACTGCTAACTGAAACATTGGTGGATCAAACCACCAGCAGCTCCTAAACCAACTCGACTACATTTAACATCAACAACAACAATGGATAAAATATTGAATGATGCAGGAAGCATCAAAAAGAAAATGGAAGGAATACAGAATCCCTGTACTAAAAAGAACAGTCATTGTTCTTTTTAAGAACATTAAGAGGCAGCATATGATCAAAAACCAAGGGTACTGAAAAAGGAAGTCCAAGATGCACTGAAGACATTGTCAAAACAAAAAAGCTCCAGGAATGGACAAAATACAAACTGAAATGTTTCAACAAACAGGCAGCACTGGAGGAGCTCACTTGTTTATGCCAAGAAATGTGGAAGAACTGCCTGGTCAACCCACCATTCTTCTTTCAGCTTGTCACACTGTGGTGACTTTAATGTTGCTGTGATGCTGTAAGCTATGCCACCAGTATCTTGAATGCAAGCAGGGTCACCCATGGTTAACAGGTTTCAGCTGAACTTCCAGACTAAGACTCGGAAGAAGGAGAGGCAGACTACTTCCAAATTTGTTTACCCACTGAAAACCTTATGAATAGCAGTGAAGCACCAGAATATTGAATATTGAACATTTCAGATATAGTGCTGAAAGATGAGTCCCTCATGTTGGAAGACAAACAAAATACCACAGAGGAAGAACTACCTCCTTAAAGTAGAGTTGACCAGGATGATATGACTGGGATTAAAGCTTTCAAGGACCTTCATTTGCCCATGGGGCACAACTCAAAATGAGGAGAAACAGCTGCAAACACCCATTAATAATTGGAACATGGAATGTATGAATTACAAATCAGGGAAATTGGAAGCTGTAAAAAATTAAATGGAACTCATAAACATCGATACCTTAGGCATTAGTGAGCCGAAATGGACTGGTATTGGCCATTTTGAATCTGACAATTACATGGTTTACTATGCCAGGAATGACAAATTGAGAAGGAATGGCATTGCATTCATCAAAAAGAACATATCAAAATCTATCTTGAAGTATAATGCTCTCTGTGGTGGATAATATCTATATGCCTACACAGAACACCAGGTAATATCACTATTATTCAAATTTATGCACCTACCACTAAAGCCAGTGATGATGAAACTGAAGAATTCTACCAACTTCTTCAGTCTGAAATTGATCAAACATGCCATCAAGATGTATTGATAATTACTGGTGATTGGAATCCAAAGGAAATAAAGAAGTTGGAAGATATGGCTTTTGGTGATACAAATGATGCTGGAGATCATATGATAGAATTTCGCCAGACCAGTGACTTCTTCATTGCAAATACCTTTTCAAACAACTTAAAAGACAATTATAGGCAGAGAATAGTGCTTCCCATTCTTCTACTCAGTGCTTAATGAACCCACCATTGATTCTGGCTTTCAGAAATTACAGAAGGACATTCCCGGCACCCTGGTGATCCTGAGTGTTTGCCAAAGGAAGTAATACACAAAGGGGCTGCAGATCTGATGGAAACACTGTATAGGATGCCACACAACAACAAGAAAACCCTTCTGAAGAGAGCGGCAGACATCGCAGAAGCCCTGTACAACGTCCCCTGAGACAACAACCAGCTCCCAGCCCTCACTAACACCTCAGTCCAAGAAGGAATGGTAGGTATGAACTACTACAGTAGGCAACTAACCATGAATGTCTCCCAGGCATAAACAAGTCACAAATCAGTGTTTCACTCACAACTCAGGCAGCATATTGCCACAAGGGTACATGCCAAGCACCCCACCCACCCCACCCCCAGCAGACCAACTATAACTCTCTCACCATAAGCATGAATGAATACGACACTGACACCATGCCCTATTTGGGTGGCTCCCCAACCTTCCTCAATGACTCAGCTGCCAACTCACTCTATACCATTGTGCCATCCAACACCACCATGGCCTCCT